CCATTTGAGGAAGTTTGCAAAACCAATCCGTCGAGCCGGATTCGAACCAGCGACCTAAGGATAGCTGCGACTCTACAGTCCTCCGCTCTACCAACTGAGCTATCGACGGCACACCAAGCACCGCCCACACTGCTTCCAGCAACATAAACGACACATTTTCCGATCACTCAATCAGTACTGGGGGTCACGAAAGGCTGTACAGGAAGAATTGACCATTTCAGGAAGTTTGCAAAACCAATCCGTCGAGCCGGATTCGAACCAGCGACCTAAGGATAGCTGCGACTCTACAGTCCTCCGCTCTACCAACTGAGCTATCGACGGCACACCAAGCACCGCCCACACTGCTTCCAGCAACATAAACGACACATTTTCCGATCACTCAATTCAGTACTGGGGGTCACGAAAGGCTGTACAGGAAGAATTGACCATTTCAGGAAAGTTTGCAAAACCAATCCGTCGAGCCGGATTCGAACCAGCGACCTAAGGATAGCTGCGACTCTACAGTCCTCCGCTCTACCAACTGAGCTATCGACGGCACACCAAGCACCGCCGCCCACACTGCTTCCAGCAAACATAAACGAACACCCACCGTTTGCACACTCTAGCAGTCATTACGAAGGTGTCGAGCTGTACAGGAAAATAACTTTTAAGCAGTTTCAAACTACCTGGCCGCCGGATTCGAACCAGCGACCTAAGGATAGCTGCGACTCTACAGTCCTCCGCTCTACCAACTGAGCTATCGACGGCACACCAAGCACCGCCCACACTGCTTCCAGCAATATGAACTAAACAACGTTCCAGGGAATTTCGGTCTTGCAATTCGTACTGAAGGTGTCGAAAGGCTGTACAGGAAGAATTGACCGTTTCAGGAAGTTTGCAAAACCAATCCGTCGAGCCGGATTCGAACCAGCGACCTAAGGATAGCTGCGACTCTACAGTCCTCCGCTCTACCAACTGAGCTATCGACGGCACACCAAGCACCGCCCACACTGCTTCCAGCAATATGAACTAAACAACGTTCCAGGGAATTTCGGTCTTGCAATTCGTACTGAAGGTGTCGAAAGGCTGTACAGGAAGAATTGACCGTTTCAGGCAGTTTGCAAAACCAATCCGTCGAGCCGGATTCGAACCAGCGACCTAAGGATAGCTGCGACTCTACAGTCCTCCGCTCTACCAACTGAGCTATCGACGGCACACCAAGCACCGCCCACACTGCTTCCAGCAACATAAACGACACATTTTCCGATCACTCAATCAGTACTGGGGGTCACGAAAGGCTGTACAGGAAGAATTGACCATTTGAGGAAGTTTGCAAAACCAATCCGTCGAGCCGGATTCGAACCAGCGACCTAAGGATAGCTGCGACTCTACAGTCCTCCGCTCTACCAACTGAGCTATCGACGGCACACCAAGCACCGCCCACACTGCTTCCAGCAATATGAACTAAACAACGTTGCCAGGAATTTCGGTCTTGCAATTCGTACTGAAGGTGTCGAAAGGCTGTACAGGAAGAATTGACCGTTTCAGGAAGTTTGCAAAACCAATCCGTCGAGCCGGATTCGAACCAGCGACCTAAGGATAGCTGCGACTCTACAGTCCTCCGCTCTACCAACTGAGCTATCGACGGCACACCAAGCACCGCCCACACTGCTTCCAGCAACATAAACGACACATTTTCCAATCACTCAATCAGTACTGGGGGTCACGCCTCGAAAGGCTGTACAGGAAGAATTGACCATTTCAGGAAGTTTGCAAAACCAATCCGTCGAGCCGGATTCGAACCAGCGACCTAAGGATAGCTGCGACTCTACAGTCCTCCGCTCTACCAACTGAGCTATCGACGGCACACCAAGCACCGCCCACACTGCTTCCAGCAACATAAACGACACATTTTCCGATCACTCAATCAGTACTGGGGGTCACGAAAGGCTGTACAGGAAGAATTGACCATTTGAGGAAGTTTGCAAAACCAATCCGTCGAGCCGGATTCGAACCAGCGACCTAAGGATAGCTGCGACTCTACAGTCCTCCGCTCTACCAACTGAGCTATCGACGGCACTAAGCCCGCACAACTGATTCAGTCTAATTATCCAAACAACGTTTGCCAGGAATTGCGTTGAAATCACTCAATGTTCGTACTGAAGGTGTCGAAAGGCTGTACAGGAAGAATTGACCATTTGAGGAAGTTTGCAAAACCAATCCGTCGAGCCGGATTCGAACCAGCGACCTAAGGATAGCTGCGACTCTACAGTCCTCCGCTCTACCAACTGAGCTATCGACGGCACACCAAGCACCGCCCACACTGCTTCCAGCAATATGAACTAAACAACGTTGCCAGGGAATTTTTCGGTCTTGCAGTTCATACTGAAGGTGTCGAAAGCTGTACAAGAAGAACTGACCGTTTGAAGAAGCTTGCAAAACGAATCAATCGAGCCGGATTCGAACCAGCAACCCAGCTAACAATAAGTACAGCAGCGACGCTACTAAGTTCTCCCCTTACCAGCCTGAGCTAAAATAACAATTCATTTTTCCACAACGGCATATTTACATAATGGGGCTGCTATTACATTCTTTCCTAATCGAAGTAATGCATGATGTAGACATAATATTGACGATCATGGTAGTAGGAAAGGGATCAAACACCTGGAAATTTGCTACGCTGAATGCTCAATTTCCACATATCAAAAAGAGAACAGTCAGACTGAAATCTATTAACAACTCTCTCGAGGTATCAACGAATAATGAAGAGAAGCGAGCAATAACGCTGTTCTGTAAAGAAGACTGCATGAAATGCGAGGATTTCCCTGTTTTCTCGCGTTGTCTCTGCAGATTTCCCCCGCTTCCCATAAATGAACTCTGCGAAAAATTAACCAATTTCCAGAAAACAAGAACAAAAAGTAGATAAGAGCATACACAGCCAGCGAGCAAAATACACATGTCCACATCTTTTCAGTAAACCACCACAATATACTGCTTTTTCAATAAATTCACTAGTCCACCCTATCCCACCCTAATTTTTTGCTATTCCAAAGTTGCTGTGCATTTTTGGAAAATGCCGCTATTACCAATAGTTTCCCCATAACGAAAAACCTTGATACTTGATTTCTGGAGAAATCTCGATTCAGAATTATTAAAATATCTTCCTTAGAACGTATTTTCACCGTTTCGCAAATATGACTACACATCACTTGTCGAGAGATTTTACTATAACGAAAAAACGTCACGAATTTTCAATAATGGGATGACCCCCCAATAATCATAAGGAACACAATAATACGTTTTGAAATGCTGGTAGCCAAATTAGCTATTACAGTAGGATCGAAATTCGTCTGGGCGCCGATGATCGACCTTTTCAGCTTTTCGGCTGTTCCATTTTGCTTTACTTTGCTGTGGAACTTTATAACAATTAAGGCCCAATGATTCTCTATTGGAATCTAATTCAGATAACATGGTGGCCACCAGATAACTGCCACATTTTTTCCTGCAATTCCATCTGGCGCGGAGGGACCGGCATGGACAGCCGCGTTATCGTGTGTGAAAATCAAGGATAGAGGGGATCCTTGTTGAAAAAATGGTAAGACTCGCTTCGAAAAGAACTTCACGATACCCTGTGGAATCTTTGTGAACGGAAACAAAAGCGAGCTCTAGCTACTCAGTCGTTCAAAGGTGCCTCAAACCATAAGGGATTCACCGCCGAAATTACGTTACATTGAAACCATCTGCGATTTTCACGCGATCATCCTGTACCCTCTTTTTCTGCCATATCCACCTAATAAACTTTTCCACGTCGATCTCAGACCACCTGTAGAACGAAACAAGGAGGTAGAGTCCAAGATCGCGAAGGGTCTTAACAGCCACACCATCGCTCATTAAGTTGAGCCCTTTTCCACGGAGAAATGGAGACTTGCGATCTTGTAGCGCTCAAATAATCTTGGAACGCTCTTCATCAATCCGTTGAAGATGTTATTGCTCTGCTGGCTTACTCACCACACGGTGGTTTTGCTCACGGAAGGCCGCATTTCAGTACGGACTTTGTTCGGACTCCTTGTATAATTCGAGAGAAGACACCCAATTCCTCCTAAATTTTGAAGGAAACGCAGTCTTTATTTACCTAAGCGACTCTTCTCTCCGCACTGACCAGGATTTTGCACATAGTCGCTTATGCAGTATGAGCCGGCCGACATGGGAGGAAATTCTGCTCCTCAGCTATCCCACTTCAGTAAGTGCTCTAGCTTGAGCTTGTTACTGGGAAGAGAGGCGAATAACACGAGGTATGGTAAACTCGATGTCGACTGAGCCCACATATTTCCCCGCTTCCCTGATTCCCTTCACGGATCGTGAGAAATGGAAACTTTTTATGAGTGGCCCGATATTCATGAAACGGTGAAAATTCGTTCTAAAAAAGTTAATTGGGTTACTTGAGGGGGGAATTTGTCAGAAAAACACTATGAAGGTTTTCCGTGATGAGGAATCTAACGGTGATAGCAGCATTTCCAAAAAATGCACAGCAACTTTGGGGTAGCAAAAATTTAGGGTGGACCTATAATTATGAAACGCAGTGTATACAAATCACTCCTGA